TGTGTATATTGGTATAGTTGAAACTACAATCAGGAGGTTGTGAACAATTTTAATATCATTCACCAAGTCGTAATCGTATTTGGAATAGCATAGTCCATCCAGTGTCGTTTTGGATTGGTTTTACGTTCCAGTAACCATTGCTTGCAAGCATAAAACTCACATGTGAACACATCCAAAATCATCAAACGCTCCGCTTTGGTTATCACATATTTTTTAGTACCGAGTAAAAAAATAATAACCATCAAGGACGCAAAGACTAAACTTGTGATGTATGGTAAATAGTAGCACTCTTGTTCTTCCAAGCAAGCGGCATAACTCTTGGCAACTGGGCTGTATAAATAACTACAAAACGATAAAAAGTTGTGTATGCCGTAACGTATCATGTAGAACTTGGTCAAGGCTTCATCGTCCCTGGGTAAATCAAACTGGTTTCCATCGAATGCATCTGGGGCACCGCCTGTCCAAAATTGGAAAACAACCCCGCAAGCGATTTTTACGAAATTCAATTCCTGCGATATCAAACGAAACACTGGTAAAGCCGTCAACACTATTATAATTTGTATGACCCATTCGCAAATGTAGAATATGAGCGATAGAACGTATTTGTTGTAGAAACTTTCTGCTATTAGGGCTCCTATCGGTAGCAGAAAAAAACTGAACAACCGGATATAGAAGAATGTTTTTGAATTGTTGATGGATGATCCGAGTTTTGTGGTCACAAAAAGATGGGTTGTGGACGAGGTGCAGGCGTAGTCTAACATCAGGCAGGTGTACATCAGTAGAAGATAGTAGGCGGCTTTTGGCAGTTTACTGGATTTTGGAAGATCCGTTTCCATTTTGTAAAGAATTCTGTACTAAGATTTTTTTTTGACATGTATTTTTGACGTATTTAATAAAACTTTTATTTTTCCTGGCTTGCTATTTTTTAAAATCAGATTTAGGGGTTAACTAATATGAAATAGTAATATATTTTGGTAGTAAAGCTACTTTTTTAACTTCCCGTAGGGTAAATTATTGTAATCGTCCAAAAATTGACAATACATATTTTTGCATATCTTTACGTTTTAGAAGTTTCTGAACACATGGGCATACCTCAGAATTGAAAATGAACATTTTGGAAAGTATTTATGCATCCAAGACTAGGTCTTTTGCCTGGATATGTCGGTTCAAAAAATATTCGAAACAAAGTTAAACTAGTGGGATGTATGGCATCGTGCCTTAAGGCAAATTGCTGTAACTTCCCGTACCGTAACGAAATGTTCGAGGAATACTGAATGTTTTCAAATGGATTATTATTAATACTGTAACATTTTCTAATATTCATAAGAATTATATAAACTGAATTACAAAGTTGAAATTATTTGTTTAAAGTATATTAGAACTATAGTCAGAATTAAAAATAAAATCTCAATTATTTTCGATATACAAAGAAATTTTTTTTTGAAAAAAAAAAAGTTGAAACAAAATTTTTTTTTCCAAAATCAATTATTTTGTTAAGACAAGCAGAAAGTTCTTTGAATCATTTAAATCGGACGCTTAGTTCTCTCAAAAACTGCCATTTTTTACATATTTAGCTCCGTATCTTCGAAATGGCTGGGCCTGCCTTTGCCAAAAACTAATAAACACTTCTCACAATCATTACTAATTGAATGTTTTTTATATCATTCAAATCGGATACTCCGTTCTTTCAAAAACTCGATTTCTTTTTTCTGCATTCTTTGCTCCGTATCTCCAAAACGGCTAGACCTGCCTTTGCCAAAAACTAATCAGCTCTTCTCCCTATCGATTGGAATCTAATGTTTTTTGAACCATTCAAATCGGTTGATCCGTGCGCCCGAAAACGTACTGGAAATTTGTATCCATACATACATACACACACACACATTTTTTCTGAGGTATGCCAAAACGTTCAGAAACCTTCAAAAATTTTCAATTTCGATTTTCGGCCCATTACAATAACTTACCCTACGGAAAGTTAAAGATTTAATTAATTCAAAAAATATTTTGCTCGAGTAGACGGTGTGCAAAAAATGCTTCAACAGAAAATTTTGTAATTTTTGAAAATGTTAAAAATTGAAATTGTTGTTTGTATTTTCAAAAAGGAAAAAAATCTGAATATTCAAAAAAATTCAAAGTATCAAAAAATTCAAATTTTCGTAATTTTTCATTATTTTCAAAAAAACTAAATTTTGAGAAATTTAAAAAAATATCAAAATTTAAAGAAAATCGTTTTCTTACAAAGAGACTATTTCGAAATTTTTAAAAAATCGAATATTTTCAAAAATTTGTATATTCTCAAAAAATTACAAGAAAACTTTTTTTTAAATTTTGAATTCTAAAAAAAATTCAAAATTTTGAATAAAATTCTTAAATTTTCGAAAAAATCAAATGTAAAAAAAATTTAGTTTAATTTATTATAAACATACATACATACGTTATTTGTAGAATTCGCTCGTCGTCCAATTTAATAATAACTTATAAATTTACAGTATTTATAATAAATAATCTGTAATAATAAATTTAATTAATAAATTTGAAATTATTCATAAGAATCATTGATTATTTTCCATTCTATATACTTCAAATAAATAACGTTGCAATTCAGTTTATGTAATTCTTATAAATATTAGAGAATGTCCTTCATAATAAATTCGATTGATTAAGCTTGTTTTTTTACTTTTCTGTAAACATATATAAGTTACAGTATTTATAATAATCTATTTGAAAACGATGAATCAACAGACACATGAATCATCCATCAAATTGTTTGATAATATTCCATCAGATCAGATGTGCAGAAGTCTTTTTATGATTGCCAACTCAATCTATAGCACTTTATTTCTCATAGGCCATCTAATTCTCATTATTAGACATTTACTATTTAATGGTTGCATTTATCTCATTTGTTAATTATAAAAGTAATAAGTATTTATCTGATTTCCCATTCTAGAAACTACTACTAATCCAAGTGACTTCTATCTAAGATTTAGCCAGATTTTTTATTATTTTGCCTTTTCCAGACGAACCTTGCCAACTATATTGTTACGACACATCCGACACTCTGCTGGTTTCCTTCGGAGAAAACGTTCAGGATGGAACTTTCTGCAACCCTCCCACTTCTGATATGTGCATATCAGGTGTATGCAGGGTAAGTAGTAACAAATTCACTTTTCAAAATAAATTTTTTAGTTATGATTTCTTTCAAATTTCTAGAAAGTCGGTTGCGATTTGAAAGTCGGCTCGGATTTGCGATTGGATGCTTGCGGAGTTTGTGGCGGTGATGGAAGTTCTTGTGATAAAGTAACAGGTATAAGTAACTAGATAAATAAAAAAATATTTTTATTTATTGTTATTTTTTTGTTTTCATAGGTATCTTCAATGTGTCTAAAGATGTCGCCACTCAAGAGGTTCGAATCGTAGGAACTATACCCGAGAACGCAACCGGTATCGTTTTGCGCGACGATGGGGAAACATCGAAAATATTAGTGGTGTCTAATGAACAAAATACGACGAAGAGATTTGTAGACGAATTGAAAAAGTTTGTATAATTTTAGTAAATTTTATCTAGTTTTTGCTGAGCTTATTCAAAAATAGTGTCCCGGACAAAGTTTTTGAGTTATTTGAAGAAATGTAAAAAAATGTCCCAAATTTTTATATAGTCAAATAATATATTCGAGTTTATATTATTTTTTTATTTATAATTTTTATATTGTAATATTGTAATATTTTATTTAGAAAATCCTTACAAGGTGAATACAAAGTCGGAGGGTCAATTGTTTTTCAAGAAAGAATAGCAGGTGCAAACAAACTGATGTTAAATGGACCTCTAAGAAAGATGATATACGTTTATGTAAGTATTTAATATATATATATATATATATATATATATATATATTGTACAAGAAATGTAAACAAAACCTAATCGAGTCGAGATAGCTTGAAGAAAATTATATATGAAACATATATGTACATTGCCTATAAAAATTATATACAATTTGAAACTTTTTCAAAAATATTTGTTATCAGACAAAAGAATAATAATGAAAAGATAATACTTTGCAATTTGCTTGTTATAAATTGGTACAATTTTATATAGTAATAAATTCGTGAATTTCTGTTTTTTTTCAGTTAATTCAAGAAAGTATTATAGAAGAAATTTTAGCGCCGAATTCACAAAACACAGGAGTACTATACGAGTATAATATTAATAAAAAGGGACTGCACTGGTAAACTATTTTATATTTAACTTATGTATATATATATATATATATATATATATATATATATAAGTTAGTCTTGTTTCATAAATTTATGAGATAAAAAATTGTAAAAACCATGTAATATTTTTATCAAAATTTGGCTCTGAGAATGGATCATCTGAGTCAATGAAAATTCAAAAATATGTTATGTGTTCTATTTGTGTTTTATTAATATATATATGTATGCGTTAATAATACTATATATACTAATAAATCATACATCAAACACTAAACACACTTTTGTTTTCTTCTTGCTTAAAAAATCTCATCTAATAATTTATTCCATTTATATGATTTTTTTTCTAATTTTTGAAATATTTTCTAGAAATCCTGAAGAACTCCAACAAAGAAACTTGAAACAATACACTTCTCCAACATCAATATCTGCAACATGGATGTGGAGCAACTTTTATTTATAAAATATATTTTAATATATTTATTTTAAAAATAAATCTGTCATAATTTATCTTTATATTAAATGTGAATATTAAACGAAAAAAATATTTTTCTTTGAATCCTGAATGTATGTATATTAGGCTAGTGGTCCTTATATGGACTTTTTCGAAATTATTTGTTAAAAAATCTGATTCGTTGTTATACGTTCTACTTATTATATTTAAAAAAATATCACACTTTATTCTTTAGAATATTAAGATATCAGAAATAGACTTTTAAAGTATCAGAAGAGTTGACAATAGAAAGAGCAGCACAGATTTAGTAGAAAGTCCCAAAGAAAGTGACCCGGAGGTTCCTGAAAACAACCAAAAGGGAAAGTAAGAATAATAAAGATTCAAAAATAATGAAAAAAATGAAGAATTGAATGAGATAAAATAATAATATGTGCTTTGCTAAAATTTATATCATAAATTTTATATTAAACTTACTATAGGCGGAGCACGTAAAAATACTAGCCGGAGCAAATTGATATGTATATAGCTGAGAGTAAATATTTCAACTACGAATTATTTAAAATTTTAATATCCAAGTTACTAGATTTACGTAAATTTTATCTAGTTTTTACTAATGTGAACATATTATAATATCCGGCATGAAAATTAAAAATTATTTGAAGAAAACTAAAAAAAACGTCCTAAATCCATATATTGCAAGTTATGGAAATACTAAAGTCTGCATTTCAACTACGAATTATTCAAAAATTCAATACCCGAGTGTATATAACAGTTTCTACTACATTTTAGTAAATTTTCTCTAGTTTTCCCTAATGTAAACATATTATAATGTCCGGAAAGAAAATTAAATGTTATTTGAAGTAAACTAAAAAAATGTCCTAAATCCATATTGCAAATTCTGGAAAACTAAAGTCTGCATTTCAACTACGAATTCTTCTAAATTTTGATATATAAGCGTTTATAACAGTTTTTACAAAATTCTAGTAAATTTTATCTAGTTTTTACTAATGTAAGCAAATTATAATGTCCGGGATAAAAATTAAAAGTTATTCGAAGAAAACTAAAAAAATGTCCTAAACCCATATATTGCAAGTCATATAAATTATGTCCTAAACCCATATATTGCAAGTTATCAAAATACTTAAGTACGCATTTCAACTACGAATTATTCAAAATTTTAATATGCAAGTGTAAATAAAAGGTTATACCAGGTTTTAGTAAAATTTATCTAGATTTTGCTGAAGTATATAAAACATAGCGGCCGGAAAAAAATTTCCAAGATATTCAAAGAAATGCTATAAAATGTCCAAAATTCACATATTGCTAAAAATACTCGTTTATTACTAGAAAAACGTTCCCATAAGTTATTTAAATTTAATATATAGGTGTTTACTAACTTAATTAATTAATTTTTTCTAACTTCTAAAATGTAATCTAGCTTATACTAAAGTATACAAAAAAATTGATAAAATGAAGATAAAATGAAAGGATGAGTTGACCAAAGAAGAGGTACTACTAGAAAGTGAATGATATGAAAAAAGAAGCCTTAAAGATGACAGATGAAAAACTACCAATGTAGAAAGGAATCTGAGGAAACCAGTTTGAATGTAATAGTTTATATATATATATATATATATATATATATGTGTGTGTCTTTTCTCCTCTGACCTGTCTCAGCCGAATAATCCCTCCCGTACAGCCCAAAAGTGTGCAAATCATCAGCAGGAGGTCCCTTCAGTTGGACCTGCACCTTCTCCATCATCAGCAGGGCTCCCTGGGCTACATCGGGATGTCCTTTTGTATGCCCTAAACCTGTGATGGTGTTCCTGTGGGATCTGGCACTCGAATGCCACTTGTGCATGTGCATTCGTTCCCTCGATAAGGGATTCAGGGAATAGGAGAGGGACGTTGCTGTCGTGAGGACATCTTGAGCTGGAGAAAGAGATATATGGTAATAAATGGTATATATATATATATATATATATATATATATATATACATGATTGATTTCTTGGATGGCGTAACATCAAGTAAAAAATATAAATAAAGTAAGGATTTTTTAAAACATCTTTATTTTTCCATACGTTTCGACGTAAAATTCTACGTCATTGTCAGTGGTTCTACAATTTAAAAAAAACAGAAAGTAACGTTAAAAATAGAATATACATAAGTAATAGTAAAAAAAAAGGTTTAACTAAAGAGACAGACTAATTATATCTAAGCCTTAAATTAAAAAATGCATAAACATTACTTACTTGAATTTGTAATGTTTATGCATTTTTAAACATCATACATACCAGGACAAAAACATTAAAAAAAATTAAGAAAATAAACATTGTATCAATATTCGAGAAGGACAATTTTTTGGAAAATAATGATGAATAACCACAAAATTAAAACCATTTTGAGAAAAGTTTTAAACTGTAACACATTAAGACGTATGAAACTAACCCATTTCAAGCAAACGACTCGAGTGTTATGTGTGATCCAAGGATTGCGTCACACACACTTGTAGTTGCTGAATGACACGAATCTGGTGTCAAAACGTATAAATAAAAGGTTTTAAATACTTTTTACATTTTTTTTTATTTCGACAAATGGGCTGCTAGTTACTCTTTAATATATATATATATATATATATATATATATATATATATTTGATCCTTTGGGAGCAAAGAAATTCGAACATGTCCATATTAAGGACCACCCTAATATATATATATATATATATATATATATATATATATATATATATATATATATATAATATATATAAATATATATATATATATATATATATATATTAGGGTGGTCCTTAATATGGACATGTTCGAATTTCTTTGCTCCCAAAGGATCAAATGCTTCCAAATTAATAAAAACAAATTCTCTAAAAATTTTAGCTCTTAATATTAACATTTAGATAGTCCGCAATTCAATTAAAAGTTTTATATATTTATTATTACCATATATCATTAAGTAAACTCTTGAGACATCTGTGATAGCATTTGTGAACTCAAATATTATGACATTAAAAAATATTTATAATTTACTTAACCCCTAATTAAATCCACGTGGGTTGTTTAACAAAATATTTATTCATCACAATGAATTTTGGAGCAAAATATTTATTTAATTGGTGATGTGGACACTCAAATTATCAGTAATAAATTGCCATTAATACTACAAGTGCTAAAAGTCTGCTTTCACAGATGGCGCAAGAATTTATTTAATGACATATGTTAATAATAATATATGAAACTTTTGATTCAATTGCGGACTATCTAAAAGTTGATATTAAAAGCTAAAACTTTCAGATATTTTTTTTTATTAATTTGGAAGCATTTGAGCCCTTGGGAGCAAAGAAATTCAAAAATGTCCATATTAAGGACCACCCTAATATATAAATGTATATACTTACATGATGGAAATTCTGCAGATATTTTAGCATGTGAGAAACGCATTCGTGGTGCCACTTTTTGAAAATCTGGATATCTGAAATTAAAACAAAAGTTACCCTATAATACTCTCATAGATTTTTTCTAATAAAATTTTGTCCCCTGCTTTATATGACAAAAATAGTAAAAATAATAGTAGTCGATTAAATTAAATTAAATTTAAGTCCATTATTTACTCGAAGAAGTCTTCTTATAACTATTAGAATAATTTTAAATTTTTTTACTTACTTTACTCCACAATCAGAAATCTCAGGGCCGGAACAGGAGACTATGGAGCATACCAGAACATCGCCTGTGCGGTCGCCCCATTCGCGGGCACCCTTGTACGCCACTGCCCTGTATTCGTATGTCAACTGAAAAAAGTAACGGTATCATAAAATCAATAATAATAATAATAATAATAATAATAATAATAATATGTACTTATAATTAATAATAGATGCTAGCGATACATGACATCATCATCGAGGAAAATTGCTGGAACTTCAACGTACCGAAATTTTAAATATTTTTTTGAAAACTTTGAAAAAATTTGATTTTTGAGAATCTTGAGTTTTTTGCCAAAAACTAATCAGCATGTCTCCTCATCCATTTTTTTGCAACTACCTTTCTTTAATAACAAATAATAATATTATTCCTTAAAAAAACGGTTTGAAACTAGGGCGCTTTTCAGTATAATTTTAGCTAAATACCTATTAATTAGAATAAGTAAAGTTTTTCATCTTAAATAATATTTTAGTCATTATATCATTTTTGTACAATTTATTATATAATGAGATATTGATTAAAAGCAATGAATAATGGTGCATTTTTATTTAAACCATAAATAAAATAAGTATTAATAAATCGCAATTCTAGCTGCTTTGCCATTAAGGTAAACGTACCATATTACGGGATGTTAAGAAACGTTTGACTTTAAAGACGAATTTTAGAGAAAATAGGCAAGTGGACGAACTAAATCTGTTATATTTTATTAATTAGACCTTTGAGATTATTATAAAACAAGATTTTTCGTCGTAGAACGTCATTTATAGAAATAATCGGCATTTTGGTGAGCCACGCGTTTGTCTCTAATTCCGTAATAAAATTTGGTTCATGAACCTAATGCCGGGAGTCGTTGTACACTATTCCGTGATAGCGCTCGAAGCATACATTTTTGATCGTAATGCCTTGATAAATATATTTGTAGGTTATGAAAAGTACGGTTAATTGAAAAATAATATTTTGATATAATTTTAAACACATATTTATTATATTTTCATGGAAATTTGAACAGTATAAGTGATTATAAAACTTCAAAAAAAAATGAAATAAAAGCTGGTATCAAAATTACAGTAATTATTGTAACACTGGAAATGATATGAATAAATCAAACTGGAATGAAAAAATAAATCAAATAAAAAATATGAAACAAAGAGGATAATTTATGTATTCAATTATCAATCCTAAATCTGCATAAATATATCTATTACTTAACATTCAAAATATATTTAAAGTATGAGATCATATAACAATTAGCTAGAGGGTTAATACATAATTTTCTTATTAAACTATATTTCTTATTTAATGAAAATATAAACTTTATCTAAATATATACTTTAAACTCTAAATAAAAAATTTAAACACCAAATAAAAATAACAATTTCATCAACAAATGTAAATAATCTTTAAAGTCCTTAAATTTACTAGATTAAATCAGGTACAGAAAATACACCTCTTTTATTTACTGGAATTGGTGGTTTTATTTTTTGCACTATATCTTTGGCATCATAATCTAACACATCGTCTTTATCAGGCCAACGCCAGTTAACTCTTCCATTTGCAAAACCGCTCATAGTCATAGTTTTGACTAGGTACTTTGTTTGATCAGTCTTGTCATTAGAGGTTCCGAGTATTATTAGTACGACGTGCATTATTCTCTATTCGCCAAGAATATACATTTCTACTCCAGGCACTTTTTAAGCTGTGAAAAACTGCTACGTCCATAGGCTGTAAAATATGAGTTGAATTGGGCAATAAGGCAACCAAAATAATGCCAATTTCTCTACATAATTTACACAGGTGATAGGACAAATGCGAAACATGACCATCCAAAAATAAAACAACTGGTTTTTCAATATTTTCGTTTATAAGGAAAGGATTGAAAACATTTCCAATATACTCAAAAAAGTTTTCGCTGGTCATCCACCCTTTATCACTTCTGCCTATGGACCAGGTTTTCGGGTATTTTGCTAATATGTTAGATGGTATCCTCTTATAAGGAAATAATGACAGAACTGGCATCAACTTCCCATCTGCAGAAGCGCCGATCAATACTGTAAGGCATTCCTTTTCATCATTTCCTGATCTGCAATGTACAGATTTGGAACCTGTTTTAGCTAAAACAGCTTGACCTTTTGGTCACAGAAAAAATGCAGATTCATCGCAATTAAAAATTTTAGATGGGTCTTGTAAAAGCTCACTAAAGTCATTTTCCTGAAAATATTTCTCAACTCGCTTGAACCATGCCCTAATTTTCACCTCATTCACACTGACATGAGCCGTAGTCAAGGGTTGACATATTCTTTTACTAATCAAAGGGTTTCTTCTAAGAAAACCCTCATACCAATGCCGACCTGGATATCCTTCCTTAAATTTGTTAGACCGACCGAGTTCAGCAACCAGTTTATGTATAGAATTTAATAAAATGTCTTTCATTACAGGAAAACCCATTTGAGCCATCGTTATAACCCATTCAACAATAAGGTTTTCTTCTTCGGGGGTCAGTACTGCTGGAGCTCCTGCACGACCTTGCTTTTTGTATTTTCCGTGTAATTTATCATATAAGGTTTGATTGGGAACTTTATATATTCTGGAAGCTTTGTAAACAGATAAAGTACCATCGCGAATTTCTTTTAAAGCCTTTTCTAGGGTTTCATGTGAATATTTATTTGAAGCCATCGGTACTTTGAAAAACTAAAAAAAATATTTAAAAGTTATATATTTATACATAAAATTTACATAAACTGTCAAGTACGTTGCAAAAATTAAGCAAATCAAGACTACCGTATTTACGAATATGTCCCTAATTCGCTGCATACATACACACATATCCGCACACTAGTGATTCGTGCTCTATAAATATCGTGCGTCATTGATAGAAAACAAGTGTATCTATAAGCTTTGACATTACACAAATGATTTATCGTAGATGAAATAAAAGAAACATCTGATTCTCTCATTACTACCATATTTTATGGATATGGGAATAATGGAAATAAGTAAAAAAAATCATATATTTTCTTGCTAAAGAGTAGTCATTTCAAACTCAATTATTAGGGTTAAAAATTAGAAAGAACATATACCGTAATTAGGTCACAATATTCTGTGGTCATCACCAAACTTAGTAACACCAAAAACACCACTAAATTTAAGCATAATTGAGAATAAAAGACTAAAATAATTCAGGTCTACTTTTCCTAATTACGTGACACTCACGGAATAACGTTCAATGCCTCAATTGTGTGAACTTAATTACGGGAGTCACAAAATTGACACTTTCTTAAAACATATTTGCTCGATTTAACTATAAAACTTATCACTTATTATTTCTTAACAATAATATCACAAATTTATATTGAATAAGCTTACCAGTGTCACATAAAAATCTTAAGCAATTGTAGCGTCACATTAACCTAACTAACAACGGGACTGTACGTAATGGCGATCGGGTTATGACAGATGCGTTCAGAAGCTCTATATGGTTTTAAAAACTAATATTTAAAATGGAAAATCGTGCTCATTTGATGAGATTCGAATTATAGTTTATGTGGTATTGTTTAAAATTATTATTCACCGACTGTTTTCTTATTTTGCGATCAAAATGAAAAACTCCCGTAATAATGTACTATCCCGGAATAGTGTACGTTTACCTTACTTTAATTTTAATTGTTTCCGCAGTCAATAGGGGCGCCACTAACTGTAGCACGTAAATTCAGCCCTAGGTTTAATAAAAGATAAACATATAATATAGTAAAGATAAACCTGATTAATTTGAATAATTGAAATATATACGTGTAAAAGATATTTTCAACTGAATCACAAATATGTTTTTACAAATAGTATATATAAAAAATTATTAAACTTTAAAATACGTGTATTATATTACTAAATCAGTTCTTATGGCATCGTGCCTTGAGGCAAATTGCTGGAACTTCCCATTCTATAATGAAATATTCGAAGAATATTAAATGTTTTCAAATAGATTACTAAAAAATACTGCAACTTTAATTATTCGTATTTTATAGACGGAGCAAAGAGTGCAGAAAATAGAAATCGAGTTTTTGAGAGAACGGAGCATCCGATTTGAATGATCCAAAAAAAACATTCAATTCGTAATGTCGGGGAGAAGTGGTGATTCGCTTTTGGCAAAGGCAGGTCTGGCCGTTTCGGAGATACTATGCAAAATGAGCAAAATGGCAGTTTTAAAAGTACTGAGCATCCGATTTGAATGATTCAAAAAACTTTCGTTTGTTTTCAATACAAAACGTTTGTATTGACAAAACAATTGCTTTTAAGGATAAAAAATTATTACATCTTTTTTTATTTTCCATAAAATATTTTTTTGTAATTTTGGATTACAAATTGAAAAAATTACCCAGGCTAAGCACAGTCTAAGCGCCACTCTGGTACAAATGTTTATGTACTGGAAAACTTTTCCAATTTTGTGAAAACTATTGAAAAATGTGAAGATGCCGTCAAGCTAAGCACAGTATAAGTGAAAATGTCGCAATTATTTGCAAATGCGTTTAGATTGTGACTATACGGGAGCACTTTTTCAATTTTGTGTAAATTAGGCAACTATTTTTTTTTTAAATTGAATTCGAAATGAAATGACGATTGTTGTTAATGTTCTGGAGATAAATTGATTTATGATTTACATTTGATTTGCTCAGATATAACAAACAAGATAGCAAAAATAATGAAAGTTACAGTATTTGTAATAATATATTTGAAAACGTTTAAAATTTCTCGAATATTTCATTACGGTACGGGAAGTTCCAGCAATTTGCCTCAAGGCACGACACCACAAGTTCATTAATGTAATTAAATTAATTATTGAAGCATTATTCAAATTGCGAAAAATATCAATACATCATATTAGCTTTGTGTTTTTGAAACAACCTAGAATAATTTATAAATCATTAGGTAATTGTAATTTCTCATTGAATCGAATTTATTTAATTAGTTTAATTGGTAAAATTAGTGGGTGACTATTTAATCAGTATCGATTTTTACAAATATGTACACTTGTCAGGTTTTCGTAATAAAATGATAAATTATATTATTGTTATTTAAGTAATTAGTGTAGTGATAAAATACTGTGTAATAAAAAATGATAAGTTATATTATTGTTATATATGTAAATAAAGTGTAGTGATTTAAGTGTTATATTTTACTTATTTCCATAATGAAATTCAAAAAGTCCAAATCAAAAAACATAGCATCTGCAATGCGCCCGTTGTACTTTCTGAATAAATTTCTGGGTTTAAGTATACGCGATTACAGTAACAACATGCGTTTGAGTAAATTTTCCATCGCAAAAAGCATATTGTCATTTTTAATATACCTATGGGGCTTCGTACAAGTCTTCTATCTTTTCGAAACCCAAATATTCATAGAAAACACACCACCGGTTATACGTATAGGAAACATCATAGAATCCATCACAAGTTTTGTGTTCTTATTCATCCTATACTCTTTCACAATTTCCAGGAACTAAAAAGAGCCAAAACTTGGTCAACTATTATGTTCATCGACCAGGAATTGTCTTCGATAGGGATTCAAGTGTCTTTTAATAAATTAAGTTCGTTTACAGCCAAAACAACGTTTTTGACAATCGGGATCTTAAGTGCTACCCAATGGTACCAGTCTGTGGTTCAAGGATATTTTTTGGGTATTCTGGGTTATGCTTATGGTATGCAAACTACAGTGCCTTTATTGGTGACTTTTGCAGCAGTTTTGCAGTTCCAATGTATATTATTTTTGTTATGCGAACGTTTTGAATTGATCAACAAAAACTTGGAACACATATTAAAGTTTCGTCACGGATCCGAAGGCCACAGGATCAAATACTTATCAGAATTCAAATTCACGCAACCTACACCAACACCAGTGCCCAACAAAACCAAAACCAGAAAAAAATACCAAAACTCCTATACCCCACCAAAAAAGTCTTTTATCACAGCTTTCAACTCAGATCCAGCTTTAAGATTAAAAAAACTCCTAAAAATTCTGATGCATCTGCTAGAATGGACAGACCAAATCAAATCTACATACGAAATTCCGATGCTGCTCTGTATCCAGCTTCTTTTTATAACAGCGGTTTTCAAAATGTATTTGGCTGCCACCAAATTTCAAAAAATGGTTCATGTGCTGGATTTTGAAACTGTCAACACTTATATGACGACTTTGGCCAATCAGAGTGTCATCCATGTGGCTATTTTGATGCTTATTCATTTGATCGAGACTTGCGCCAAAAAGGTAACACTTGCGGTAAAAGGTAACTAGTGGTGTATGGCATCGTGCCTTAAGACAAATTGCTGGAACTTCCCGTACTGTAATGACACATTCGAGAAATTTTAAACGTTTTCAAATTATTTAAAAATGTGCGAATGATCGAGGTTGTTAAGTTACGGTTTGGGCCAGAATAACAATTCGAGGTTCGCCAGATCGAACCCCATTTAACTGAAAAAAATTTTGGAACCGATAATTTCTTGACAAGAGCCTTAAATAATATCTATTATTATTGATTACGGCTTGCTTATGAATAAATAAAATAAATAAATAAATATTATTACAAATACTATAACTTTCATTATTTTTGCCATCTTATATATCTGAGCAAATCAAATGTAAATCATAAATCAATTTAACTCCAGAACATTAAAGATCATTTCATTTCGAATTCAATTTCAAAAAAAAAATAGTTGACTTATTTGCACAAAATTGAAAAAGTGCTCCCGTATAGTCACAGTCTAAACGCATTTGCAAACAATTCTGTGCGACATTTTCACTTATACTGTGATTAGCTTGGTACAATTTTCACTTCCCGTAGTGTAAGTTATTGTAATCGTCAATAAATCGAAATTGAAAATGTTTGCATATCTTTACGTTTCAGAGGTTTCTGATCATTTTGGCATACCTTAAAAAATAGATGTGTGTGTGTGTGTAAAAAAATACATTTTTTTGAATATCAAAAATAATTCGGATTTTAATTTTAATTTTAGCTAAAATTCCAAAGCACACTTATATACTTGAGATACATAATTTAAACTTTGCAATTCAATTTAAATGATTCTAAGAAATATGAGATAAGGTCCTTCGTTCTAACTTTGCTGGATTAGGTTTTGTTTTTCGTTATCGACTAATTTTTAAGCTCTTCTATTTTGTTTATAATATACGAATAATAAAAAATACAGTATTTATAGTAATGAAATTGAAAACATTAAATATTATTCAAATATTTCATTATGAAACGGGAAGTTCTAGCAAATCGCCTTAAGGCACGATGCCATACACCACTAGTTTATTATATATTTTTGTAAAAACATATTTGTGATTTAGTTGAATATATATTTCAGTATATTCATAATCAAGTCAGTATATATAATAATCAAGTTCATCTTTTTTATATAAATCTTATCTAGAATTAAACCTAAGGGTAAATTTACGTGCTACTGTTAGTAGCGCCTCTATTGACTGCGGAAACAATTAAAATTGAGGTAACGTGATTGCGTTCTATTTATATTTATTTTTTATTGCAATTAATCAACATATTATTTTATTTATGAAATATGAAAAAATGGATATAATAGCAAAAATATTAATTGAGCTAATAAACTTCTCTTATGCAAATAAATAGGTATTTAGCTAAAATTATACTAAAATGTACCCTAGTTTCAAAACATTTATTATCAATTAAAGTTATAGTAATTGTAAAAGGTTTCTGAACATTTTGGCATACCTTATTAGATAAAATGGATGTATGTGTGTGTGTTTGCGGATATAATTTTTCGTCCACGATTTAGGGCGCACAAGTCAACCGATTTGAATGATTTATTAAACATTTTATTTGTATTGACGAAATGAAGAATTTATTAAATTTTTGGTAAAGCAAGTCCAGCAGTTTCGGAGATATAGAGAAAAAAGTAAAAAAGAATTTTTTTTTCGTTTAAACATTATCATTTGACGTATGCACATCAAATTATTAGATTATCAGACTAATTTTATTACAATTTTGTTGGGTTCCGTACCAAGATCGTTAATTTTTAAAATTCACTTGAACGGTTCAAGCAAGTTTTAAAATTTTCGGAAAAAAAACTCTATCTAAATTTTCTAAAATATACAAAGTTTTATACTTCAAATATGAATTTTAAGTTTACAATTTAGTTTGCAAATGTATAAATTTTATATGCGTTATTCTAATCGTAAGAAATATATTCTCAAATAGATTCATTCGGCACCTCTTGCTAATGTAAACTTTCTCAAGTATTTTGAACGATAAAATCGTCACTGTATATTTTATAATAGATAAATATCATATTGTCAAATATCTCCCTTCCGCCTTTTTGTATTATAAACCAAGAGCAAAAAAGCGGAAGGGAGATATTTGACAACCTAATATATAGTGATTATAATTATCTATTTGGCAATATTTAAAACAATTGTAATTAATCATTGATCAATATTAATAGATTACTGATTTTTCCTCGATTATTTAATTCTGGTTTGGGAAGTTCCAGCAATTTGCCTTAAGGCTCAATGCCATGTACCACTAGTTATAAATCATTTATATCATGTATCTGTTATCTTTTAGGTAAAAAAGTCTGTGGTTAATGTTCACCAATTGTCCATTTTGGAACGTGACAGAGGAATGAGAAAGCGCTTACTAAACTATTCTCTCCAATTGTTACACAGAGACTTAGATGTCATGGTATGCGGTATATTTTCCCTGAACATGGAATTTTACTTCACGGTAAATGATAAAACAAATACGTACTAAATTATTTTAATTCTAATGAATTTGCTTTACTTCCCAGAGTTCGAGTGGTGCTTTCTACTACATGTTGCTGTTGTTCCAATTTTAACTACAAACTAATGGTGCATGGTATCGTGCCTTAAGCGAAATTTCTGGAACTTCCCGTACCGTAATGAAATATTCAAGAAATGAAAATAATCAATAATTGTTTTGAATCATTTCAAATGGATTATTTATTATAAATGCATACTGTGAATTTATAAGTGCTTATTATATTGGGTGACGAGCTTATTCTACAATGTATATCAAACTATAACTTTAGAATAAAATTTTTTTCCCAAAAGCAATTGTTCTGTCAACACAAGCAAAAACTGCTCTCAAAAATTGCCATTTTTTGCACATTTAGTTCGGTGTGTTCAAAACGGTTGAACCTGCCTTTGTCAAAAACTAATTAGCACATGTCCCTATCAATAGGAATCGAATGTTTTTTGAACCATTCAAATCGGTTGATCCGTGCCTCCGAAAACGTGGACGAAAAATTGTATCCGCACATACACACACATCCATTTTTTCTGAGGTTTCAACTGTTTATAAGAAATTTGTTCAAATTTTTTTTAAATTTTGTTTTTTTTTTTGATAAATTTGAAATTTTTTTAGATTATGTAAACTTTTTTTGGAATTTTTGGAAAAAATCTGTTTTTCTTAATTTTTTGAGAATTTGGGCATTTTTAAAAATATTCTATATAAATATTGATTTTTTTTGAAAATTTCGAAATATTGTCAAATTTTTGTAAGAATTCTATTATTTTTTAAATATACATATTTTTCGAAATTTTTCATAATTTAGATTTTTTTTGAAAATGATGAAAAATTTCGAAAATTTGATTTTTTTGCCACTAATTTTTTTTCTTAATTACGAAATTTTTTGTAAAAGCATTTTTTGCACATCGTCTACAAATTATAAAAATCTATATAAAATATCTGATAATTGATGTGCATATGTCTAATGAACATTTTTGTCCGCCAAATGGCAATTTTTTAACTTTTTTTCGTTGAGAGTCCACAACCGCTGGACCTGCCTTTCCAAAACTTTAAAGAGTGCTTCATTTTGTCAATACAAATAAAATGTTTTTTGAATTATTCAAATCGGACGCTTCGTTCTCTTGAAAACTGAATTACCATTTTGGCTCTTTTTGCCAAAAACTAATCAGCACATCTCCTTATCAATAGGAATCGAATGTCTTTTGAATTATTCAAATCGGTTGATCCGTGTTCCTGAAATCGTCGACGAAAATTTGTATCCGCACACACACACACATACACACACACACGTATATATCCATTTTTTCTAAGGTATGGCACACCAAAATGTTCAGAAACCTTTGAAACGTAAAAATAAACAAAAATTTTCATTTTCGATTTTTTTGCGATTACTATAACTTATTATAATTAAATACTTACTTTTCCATCGAGTACTGGCAGCTCTATAGTTGTTAAATCGAAATGGCAGCAAAATTTATCGTTGGAACAAATCTCTCTCGAAAAGTCGCCAAAATTTATTTTCTCCGATGCATAACTGGTCATGTTTTCCGATAACATGTTGTAAGAGTCCATTATCTCTGGTGGAAAATTCTACAAAAAAACATTATAATATTAAATAAATGTAATGAAATCTATGTATATTTTGTTTTACCTCTCTCGGGATGATCAAATCCTGGTGATACAGATGCACATTCTGATGTCCTTTTTTTCTCGTCCTGCTTCTTTTTGCCAGGTATGATTTTTTTGACTTCGCTTACAATGATTTTACGAACTGGTTTAGGACTCATTGTGAATACGAGTGCTCCTTGGTGTCCTGAGTAAATCCCACTACCTCCACTACCTAATTAAAAATATATAATTTAATTAAATAACAAATAGGAAATTCAATTTATAGAAGTGCATTTATTTCTCTTACCAATTGCAGGATTGCTTGCGCCAGCTGCTAATAAATTCACATCGTTTGCATATGCCCAATTTTCTTGCACTTGAATCGCTGGAAAAAAATAAATACATAGAAACATAATAACAAATAAATAAACTAGTGGTGTACGGCATCGTGCCTTAAGACAAATTGCTAGAACTTCCCGTACCGTAATGAAATATTCGAGAAATTTTAAACGTTTTCAAATATATTATTATGTAAATACTGTAACTTTCATAGGCATTTGATACAGATTGGTTTGATGGACTAATTCATAAAATGAATCTTCTAAATTTCCCCAAATATTTGATTTGTCTAAATAGAAATTATTTAATTAATAGAAAATTTTATGTTAGTATATACAATTGTAAATCTGCATGTAGAGTCATTACAGCAGGTGTGCCTCAAGGTAGTATTTTAGGACCGATTTATTTACCATTTATACATATGATATGCCTACAAAAATCTAAAATAAAAATAAATATTGACAAAACAGAATCTATATTGTTTACTAAAAGAAGAATTAAACCTACAGCCAATATAACCTTGCATCTTAATAATAATATCATACTATGAAGTAGTTCTGTTAAATATTTGGGTGTCATCTTAGACAGGAAACTTAATTTTAATAAACACATTAGTAACAAAATAATTAAATTAAAAAAATTAATATACATATTATACCCATTGCTAAATAAAAAAAGAATTTATATGGCAATAATTAAATCCGCAATGATATACGCTACCCCTATTTGGTGTATGACAAACAAACATAATATTAAGAAACTACAATCAGTACAAAATGTTTCATTAAGATTTGTTATAGGTCAAGCAAGGAATCTAATAAATATGAATTATATTAGCACAATTTTCTTACATGATTCCACTAATGTACAATTAGTGAGAGATTTTATAACAATTATCTCTGAAAGATTTTATACTAATTGTTTATTTAACTTAAATCCTAATATATGTAATATTGGATCGAATGACAATACATATTGGTACAATAAGTACAAGCTACCATCATCAATAAAAAGATAATCAAGTATAAAATATGGTAAAGATCAAATTATTCTTAAACTATTCCTACAGCATATGTTATTAGTCTTTTGACTATTTTCCAATCGTATATGTAATATGTATTATTTTGTTATTATTATTGTAAATATGGTTTTAAGTGATTATTAATAATTTATTTAAGTAATTTACTTTTTTATTAGTTAGTATTAAATATAAGTTTATGTATTTATATCTTAGGATAGTTATATATGATTATATAAACTGTATAGAAATATGTATGTATAAACTAATATAAATGAAATAAATAAATCTTTAAAAACAAAACAAAACTGTAACTTTCATTATTTTTGCTATCTTGTTATATCTGAGCAAATCAAATTTAAATCATAAATCAATTTCTCGTCATTTCATTTCGAATTCAATTTAAAAAAACAAATAGTTGCGTAATTTGCACAAAATTGAAAAAGTGCTCCCGTATAATCACAGTCTAAACGCATTTGCATATAATTCTGTGCAACATTTTCACTTATACTGTGCTTAGCTTGGCGGCATTTTCACATTTTTCAATAGTTTTCATAAAATTGGAAAAGTGCTCAGTACATAAACACTAACACAGTCTAAACGCACTTGGGTAAACATTTGTACCAAAGTGGCGCTTAGACTGTGCTTCGCCTGGGTAATTTTTTTAATTTTTAATCCAAAATTATAAAAATATTTAATAATTAAAAAAAGATGTAATAATTTTTTATCCTCAAAAGCAATTGTCTTGTCAATACAAGCAGAAGGTTTTTTAGATCATTCAAATCGGACGCTTAGTTCACTCAAAAACTGCCATTTTTTGCACATTTAGCTCTGTATCTTCGAAATGGCGAGACCTGTCTTTACCAAAAACTGATCACCTTTTTTCCCAATCATTACAAATTGAATGTTTTTTAGATCATTCAAATCGGATACTCCGTTCTCTCAAAAACTCGATTTGTATTTTCTGCAATCTTTGCTCCGTATCTCCGTAACGGCTCTATCTGCTTTTGCCAAAAACTAATCAGCACATCTCTCTATCAATAGGAATCGAATGTTTTTTGAACCATTCAAATCGGTTGATCCGTGCACCCGAAAACGTGACTGGAAAATTGTATCCATACATACATACACACACGCACATCCATTTAGTTTCTGAGGTATGCCAGTAAAATGTTCAGAAACCTTCAAAACGTCGAGAAATGGAAAA